CGATTGCACGTCGGTAAAGCAAGCTTGGGAGATCTTGAAGAAAGCTTATGAAGGGATTGATAAAGCAAATATTATGAGGTTACAAACTTATATGAGGTAGTTCGAGCTAGTGCAAATGGAAGATAAAGAGTCGATCAATGATTACATTACGCGTATAACACGTTTGGTGAATCAAATAAAGTCTTGCGGTGAAACCGTGTTCGTGAAGAATGTGGTAGAAAAAATATTGTGTTCTTTAACGTCAAGATTCAACAACATAGTGGTTGCAATCTAAGAATCAAAGGATCTTCTTACCATGAGCAAAGCCAAAGCATAAATTACGTTGCAAGCACGGTTCAATGAGAAGAACAAGAGATCGAAGGGAAAATGGTCTTCAAGAGGGAAGACAAATTTCCAGAATTTTGGTGGAAAAGACTAAAAAAATTCAAAGTCTATAGCATAAATAGGTGATAGTAGCTCCAAAGGTAGTGGTCAAGGAAACAACACCAAGAAGTTTGACAAGAGTGGTGTAAAGTGTTACAATTGTCAAAAACTTGGGAATTTTGCAAAGGGGTGTAATGTGAAATCGAAAGAAAATCAAGGTGATGAAGCTAAGGTTGCAAGAAAAGAGGTGGATGATGATAATAAACTTCTGGTAATGATCACAGAGGAGAATTATTGCATGGAAAAGCTGCTGGACAGCAGTAGAAGCAACTGCCAGAAGCTGGGCGCAGCGTCTGCAGTGCAGAAAATTCTGCAGAAACGCGTTCGGAGTGAAATGAAATGGTAACCATTCAAGATGGGGTCCAAGGAAGTGATGAGTCGTACTTAGGTTCCAGTTGTTTAACGCATATGACAAGTAGACAGGATTAGTTTGTCAAAATCAATCAAGCTACGAAGAAAAGAGTAAAATTTACGGTTGACACCACTTTAGCGGCCGACAGTGTGGGAGATGTTTTGATCATGAAGAAGGATGGGAGTAAATCCTTGATCAAATATGTGTTATACATTCATGGAATTAGACGTAATCTCTTGAGCATTTTCCAATTGCTTGAGAAGAATTACATGATTCGCATGGAAAACAAGATTTTACGCGTTTTTTTACCGAAACAAAGCCTTAATTCTTAGAGCATCCATGGCTGCAAATCGTAATTTCAAGATAGAGTTGAAAGTTATGGAGCACAAGTGTCTTGCTACATCGGAAAGTCTTGATGAGTGATTGTGGCATTACCGTCTTGGACATCTCAATTTTCAAGATCTCGACGCGTTACAAAGGAATAATATGGTGATCGGGCTACCCAAGATCAATGTTTCAGCTGAGATTTGTGAAAAGTGTGTTCACGGAAAGCAACACGAGAATATTTTTAGCAAGGATGTAGGTCACAGGACCAAACATCATTTTGAGGTGGTGTACTCTGATGTTTGTGGTCCAATACAAGTCGACTCATATGGTGGAAATAGGTACTTTGTCACTTTTATTGACAATTTTAGTAGGAAACTATGGATTTATATAATCAAGAGGAAAGATGAGGTGTTTGATGTGTTCAAACATTTTAAATCCATGGTGAAGTGGCAAAGTGGTCACAAGTTGAAAATTCTTAAAACCGGTGGTAGAGGTGAGTATACCTCGAGTGAGTTTGGGAATTATTGTGATGTTGAGGGTATAATGTGTGAGGTTGTACCACCTTATACGCCTCAATAAAATGGTGTTATCGAGAGAAGAAATCGTTCGATAATGAATATGGTTCATAGCATGTCAAAGGGAAAAAGCTTTCCGAAGAAACTATGGGGTGAAGTCGTATCTACAGTCGCCTATTTGTTGAATAGGTGCCCTACTAAGAAGCTAGACAAAGTGACACCAGAAGAGGTATGGTCTGGTCATAAACCAAGTTTGAGTCATTTGAAGGTTTTCAGTTCGGTAGCATTTCAACATATTCCAAGTCAGCTTCGAAAAAAGTTGGATGACAGAGGAGAGATAATTTTGCTAGTTGGTTATCATCCTACCGGAGGCTACAAGTTGTTTGATGTGAGTAGTAAGAAGATTGTTATAAGTCGAGATATGGTCATGGACAAGTTAAGGCTGTTTGACAACAAGAAAAAATCCATGACAGTACTGGAAATCGGTTTCTTAGATGAGGGTAACCAGTTTCCTCCACGGGTTTTGCATTCTTAAGCTACTGGAATTGAAATTCACAAAGCAGAAACCAGTTCCCATGTTTATGGAAACCGGTTTCCACATGAAAATGTAGAAAATCAACATTCTACAAAAACAGTTCAGCAGCCGATCGAAGTTGAAAACGGTGAATCCAGTAGACGTCCAACAAGGCGCAGAGGTCTACCTCAAAGGCTCCGAGATTGTGAAGTATTCCATGATAATAAGATCAACAATGATGGTGATCTTATTCACTGTGCGCTTATGGCCAAATCCGAGCCCGTGATCATGGAAGCGGAATTAAGCAATTCAAAGTGGGTGTGTATGATGAAAGAGGAGCTAGAATCGATTGAGAAAAACAGTACTTCAGAGTTGGTCGATTTACCGGAACAAAAAAAACCAATAGGAGTGAAATGGGTCTATAAAGTGAAGGAAAATCCGAAAGGCGAAATTGTCAAGCATAAGGCTCGACTAGTAGCAAAGGAATTTTTGCAAAGAGGAGATATAGACTATGATGAGGTGTTTGCACCTGTGGCTAGATTGGAAACTATACAGCTGGTTGTTGGTATTGCGAATAACAATAATTGGTCAATATATCAAATAAATGTTAAATCCACATTTTTGAATGGTCCACTTGAGGAGGAAGTCTATGTAGAGCAGCACCCTGGTTTTATGGTGAAGAATCGAGAGGGAAGAGTCTACAAATTGAAGAAGGAACTCCATGGTTTGAAACAAGCACCTAGAGCTTGGAGTATATGCTTTTCTAGTTGAGGTTGGCCTCAAGAAGTGTGTATCTGAACATGGTGTTTATGTGAAGACAGAAGCAAGCAAATAAGTGATTATACTATGCTTATATGTGGACGACTTATTGATTACGGGCAGCAATGAAGTGAATATTTCTAAGTTCAAAAGTGAGCTTATGAAAGAGTTTGAAATGAGTGACCTTGTAATCATAACTTAATTTCTTGTCATAGAGTTCTATAAGTCAAAATTGGGGTTGCTTATGCATCAAAGAATGTATGCTCTTGAGATTTTGAAAAGGTGTGATATGGAGCATTATAATGCTTCCATAATACCGACTGAAGCAAGGTTGTAGTTGTCTAAAAGTGAATATGAGCAAGGAGTGGATCCAACGCAATATAGGAGATTGATTGGATCATTATGTTACTTGTGCAATACGCAACCATATTTGGCGTTCAGTGTCGGTATTGCAAGTAGATTAATGGATAAACCAAAGGTTTCTCATTTGGCAGCAGTTAAGAGGATCCTAAGATACATCAAAGGAACTCTTGATTGTGTAATTCTCTTCCCCGCAGCTGAAACGGGCAGAAATTGTGAATTACTCAGTTATACAAATTTCAATTGGTGCAGAGATAAGGATGATCAAAAGTCTACGACTGGTTATGTCTTTATGTTCGACGGAGCCACAATCTCTTGGTGCTCTAAAAAGGAACTTGTGGTTGCACTCTCTTCTTGTGAGACTGAGTATATCATTGCGTTGATGTGTGCATGTCAGACTGTGTGGCTTATGAATCTGTTGAATGAACTGGGCAGGAATGCAGAAAAAGTTGTTACGCTCTTGATTGATAATATTTCAGCCATTAATCTGGCAAGGAATCCCATAGCACATAGGAGGAGCAAACATATAGAGATGCATTTTTCATTACTTGAGGGAACTGGTGTGTGCAGGCCAGTTGAAGTTAGGATATTGTCGAAGCAAAGAACAACTTGCGGATTTGTTGACGAAAGGCGTGACAAATGATGTGTTCAAGAAGCTTGCGAGGAGTTTAGGTATGAAGAATGTTGAGCATTTGAGTTAAGATGGGGTATTGAAAGTTGATAATAATTCAAACGCATTCTGGAAACTTCTATGATCGTTTCGTGTAAAACAACTTATTTGAAAAGCACTTTTGAAAGCTGTTAAAGTTCAGTGTTTCGAAGGAGAAACCGATTTTCCAGTTTCGGTTTCTGTCACGAGTTTTAAACTTCCTGGTATTTTTTCAGTTGAGGAAACTGGTTTCCCTGTTTTAGAAAACCAGTTTTTTTTTAAACGATATTTTTAGTTTTTGCTGTTTTGTTGGGCTTGTTAGATTTCAAAGGTGTTTTAAGTGTATCCTATATAAATCTTCATGGAATGTATTTTGTAAAGAAAATGTCAATTTTATATTTCTCCTTAATTATTCTCTCTCTCTCTCTTAATTTTTAAATTCTCTCTAAATTGCATCTTCTCAAATTAACTACGTTTACCATTAATTCACCAATTTAATTTTTGTATATGTTCCAACAATCACGTTATAATGTTTTTTAATATAGTTGAGAGAAAAAAAAAGAATTACTAATTTTTTTTAAAAAAAGTTAGGAGTTGGAATGAATAAATTAAGATGTTTATTTTTATATTTAAATAATATTAATTTAATATCACTATTATAAATATTAAACTATTTTTAATTAATTTTAAAATTTTAATAAATAATATAATTATTTTGAAAATTAAAAAAATAATCTTAATTAATTTAAAATAATTTGATATTAACACGTAGATGAATTGAATGCCACAATAAGTTTCAAAATAGATAGAGATTAAAATCTAACACAAAACTTAAAAAAAAAAAAAAAATAGTAGTTTTTAAAATGTAAGAATCAAAACAAAACAAGAAAGACCAAATAAAGAGAATAAAGTTGCAATTAAGATAAAATGATTAATTAATTTTAATTATATTTAAATACTTATTCTTTCTTACCTATCATTAAAAAATAGTACGAGGAACGGTGGACACGTGTTGATGGTATATGATGATGATTGGGCATGAGATGAGAGCGTGTGAAAGAAAATTGTGTGAAAGAAAGTGTAAGATAGAAAGGTGTAGAAATGAACGTGAGCTACTACCATTCCTCTATAGTGGCATATGATTCCTGCGTTTCTTGTTATACAATTTCACCACCACCAACAACAACAACAGCACGCGCTTCTCTAACCCTCTTACACCACCGTCCTCTTTCTCTTTCCTTCTATCAAAACCCTAATTTCGTCACGGGGAACACTATCTTCTTCAAGATGCAGGTAATTCAACCTCTTTCATCCCTCATTTTGCCCATTCTAACACGTTATCATAGACACGCACTTGATGATTTAGAGTGAAATTGATTGGAACCAAATATATTAGGCTAGTTAGATTTTCTTTTTATTTTTCTAAAATTGGATGTTTATTCTCCTATTCCGTTTATGTTTTACTATTAAAAAACATACAGCGATTCTGCTCCGTAAGTGGCAAAACTAAGAACAAAGCAATGGTGGAGAGGTTGCAGCATTTTGGAGTAATCATGTCAAGTAAGGTGGCTCAAGTGATGGAGACGGTTGATAGAGCTTTGTTTGTACCCAGTGGATCAGCGGCACCTTATGATGACAGCCCCGTGGCTATAGGATACAATGCCACTATATCTGCACCTCATATGCATGCTACCTGCCTTCACTTGCTCCAGGAGAATTTGCAACCTGGGATGCACGCTCTCGACATTGGCTCTGGTATATATTCTATACTTATTTCTTTCTTTTAGAAGTTCTAATTCTAGTATGAAGTTATATAGTCAGAAGCATGAGATATTGTGAATGTTATGATAAAGGTACCATGACTGTGTTTGTTGAAAAGCAATTCAAAATAGCATCAGGGTTCTCCTATTGATTTTTACTCAATCCCAATTCAGGGTTATAAAGCCGGAGCCAACTATTGTGAAAATGCTATGATATGATAAAATTACCATGACTGTGTTTGTTAGTAAGGCAATTAGCAATAGCGGCACCGTTCTCCTATTGATTTACTCAATCCCAATTCAGGGTGGAAATTTTGTTTGTTTGAAGATGTGAGATATGGAATGACTGATGTTTCATATTAGAACATTTTTTATCCTTTTTTTTCTCTTTCCTCGTTGTTCTCTTCCCTTGATGTTTATAATTTCAACCTTTTTGAGCGTGCTTGCAGGAACAGGGTATCTGACTGCATGTTTTGCCCTGATGGTTGGACCCCAAGGCCGAGCTGTTGGTGTGGAGCATATTCCTGAATTAGTTTCTCTTGCAATAGATAATATTCAAAAAAGTGCTGCAGCTACACTGTTGAAAGATGGTTCCCTTTCTGTACATGCTGGTGGTATGATTTCGAAAATTTCTGTGAATCTGAAAGATTGAAGCTTTTCATCTTAGCATGGCAATTGAATCTAGTTGACTATGAAAGTTGAATCTAGTCCTTGTTCCAGGTATAAGGGATGAAGACTTGATGCAAATGATTAACTAATTTTAATTCTGTTGAGTCTATGAAATAAACAGAGAAAATATAACTAATGCCAAGATCTATGATTTCTCGGAGGTAATTAAGTCCACAAAATAGGAAAGTAGAGTTGATCCAAAACTATTGTTCTTGTTATGCTTACCTGAGATTTTTTACTTTGGTACTATACTCTCACAGATTAAATCTAGTTGATTCATTAAACTATCGCTGCATAGAAGTTAATCATGTCCACTGAAACTTTTGAATTAGTAGTGTACATACCAAAATGAAAAAATTAAATTAACGTGTTGATAATTTCAAATATTTGATGAATTGTTATGTTGACAGATGGAAGGGAAGGTTGGCCAGAATTTGCTCCTTATGATGCCATTCACGTTGGAGCAGCTGCACCAGAAATTCCCCAACCACTTATTGACCAGTTGAAACCTGGTGGGAGAATGGTGATTCCTGTTGGTAACATATTTCAAGATTTAAAGGTGGTGGATAAGAACCTTGATGGTTCTATCAGTATCCGGACTGAGACCTCTGTTCGTTATGTACCCCTCACTAGTCGAGAAGCTCAAATTCGCGGCTACTAAGATGGAGGCAAAATCCTGAATTTTGGAAAGCTAGTGCTTCAGCTTGTAAGTGTTTACAACTTGGATGTACACACATGCCCATGGAATGTGTATAGTTAATGTTTCTTGAATTTTGGATTTTGGAACTTGATGTAAGCACATGCTGTTAGAATTTGGATAGTAAAAAGGTTCGTGGTCTTCTAACAGGATAGATTCACGTAAACCACTTGCGACACACGGACGACACATACACTCTGACATTGATAATTTCAAAAACTTTCAAAAACCTAGGATACTGACACCACTACTTATATGATATTTGACCTTTATTTATCCATTTATTATTAAAAGAAATTGATATTTGAATACAAATTAAATTTTTTAATCCTTTCATTGATAATATTGTTTCAATCAATATTTAATCTCTTAATCTTTTGAGATGTGTGAGAATTGTCTAAAAAAAATGTATATGGTGTGTTCAGAGAAAAAAATTGTCATGCTCATGTTGTATGAATGTTATACGGGTGTTGGACTTCGTTTCAAAAAGAAAAAACCTATTTTTTTGAACACCTTTTTGGCTTTTCTGACACTTATATGACTTCGACACATATTGTACGGGTGTTATTGTACGGGTGTTATGTAAGTGTTGGACATTGACGTATGTCAGATACTACGACTTTCTTCCAAAATCTTCTTTCTTAGTTCTGCCACATCAGACATACAAACTTTGTCCTGAAACTTCTTTATCTCGTTCTCATCTACCCTAAAGTACACTTCTTCACCTTGATTGGTTAGGACCAATTGATTAATCAATCTCAAATCTAACTTCTGATCTTCTCTGATTTCTTTTAGTACATTGCTAGTCAGTTTTAGCATACTCAAACTTCACACTTTCTAGCATAATTTTACACACCAAGCTAAGATTTATGAATTGTTCGATTAAATCCACTTTTCTAACAATCAATGTCTGATGTATGAAGGACTTCTTGTTCAATGTATCTACTACCACATTAGTTTTATCTGGACGGTAATTCAACTCGAAGTCGCAGTCCTTTAAAAAATCAAGTCAACTTCTCTGACTCATTCAATTCCTTCTGATCATACAAATATTTCAGACCTTTATGATCATTGAACACCTCAAACCTTGAGCTATATAAATAATGTCTCCACACTTTAAGCATGAATATCAAAGTTGTCAACTCTAAATCTAAATCACGGGTAATATAATTCCTCTCACGAGTCTTAAGTTGCTCTAAATCTAAATCACAGGTAATATAATTCCTCTCATGAGTCTTAAATTGTCTAAAAGCATAAGCAACAACTTGACCTTTAGCATAACGACATCACCTATACCCATCTTAGAAGCATCAAAATACAAAATAAAAGATTCACCCGCATATGTTAAGATCAAAATTGGCATCAACGTTAACCTCTTCTTCAACTCTTGGAAATTTTTTTCACACTAAACATCACACACATAAGCCTGACCATTTCGAGTCAACTGAGTCAAAGGAAAAGTCAATTTCGAAAAGCCTTCAATAAACCTTCTATAAAATCAGTCGAACCCATATAATTTCTAATCTCTATAACTGATTAGGAGGCTCCCACTGCAACATTACGTCTACCTTAGACGGATCAACAATTATCTCACCACTAGAGATTACATGACTAAGGAAACTCACTTCCTTCAACCAAAATTTAAACTTGAACAACTTAAAATACAATTTCTTATCTTTCAAAGTATTTAACACAACTCTCAAATGTTTTGTGTGTTTTTCGTTTGCCTTAGAATAATTCAAAATATCATCGATGAACACCTCGACAAACTTATCCAAGTATGGATGGAAAATTTTATTCATGTACTCCACGAATACTCCTGGAGCATTAGACACACCGAACGACATAATAGAATACTCATAATGACCATGACGTATTCTAAATACAATCTTCGGTATATCCTCTGACTTCACACGAATCTGATGATAATCTGATTCCTGTTGAACACACAAGCTCCAACTAACTGATCCATAAGATCGTTAATTCTCAGAAGAGGATACTTGTTTTTAATAGTAACCTTATTCAATTGTTGATAGTCCACACAGAACCTCATGCTCTCATCTTTCTTCTTAACCAACAATATTGTGTTTGAAAAACTTCTTCTACAACGAATCTTCTAAATGTTTCTTCAACTCGCTCAATTCTGATGCATGCATCCTATTTGGTGCCATCGACACAAATCTAGTACCATGTATTAAAACTATGGTGAATTCAATATCACGCTTTGGAAGTAAATGACTAATATCCTTAGTAAAAACATCACAGTATGGTTAAACTATAACCAGTTCATCCCCAAAATAACATTAAATTAACTTAGAGATAAACAAACCAAGTCAACTCCAAACTCTTTACATAAATGGTCAGCAGACAATCAAAGAAAATCAACGAAGTAGTCACATAATCATTTATCGGGGCATCAATGATCATACTACCTTTCATCGAAGATACTACCAAACTTAACTTGGCAACACAATCATGAGAAATAAACGAATGTGTCACACTCGTATAAATGATATCAATCAAATAAACACCATTAATGAAACATATATCTCAAAACAAATTATATGATCTTGATACCTCAACACCATTCAGAGCAAACACCTTGCCACTAGCTTGTGTGACATTTGGAACCTTCTTCGACTTCTGACACTTGGTACTGATATGACATGTTTCACCATAGTTAAAACAAATCAGCATTGCACTTTGGCATTCAGCAGCACAATGTCCCGACATTTCACACTTGAAACATGTCAAGACTGTGCTCTTGCACTCAGCAACACGGTGACCTAAACCTCTGCATTTGAAATATCTTGGAGAAATAGTGCGGCCTCCTTCTGGATAACGGTTAAAGGAAAAATAATGTCGACAATGTTTCACACACATGAAATATACTATGGTACAATCAAGTTCACAAAATCTAGGCCAAATGAACCATTTTATGTAACACTCAAAAATCTCAACACATAATTTATAAGATAATCAGAGTAATTTTCTCTAAAAAGGTGTCAAATTTTCTCTGCATAAATGTCTTCCTCAAAATTATATGTAATAGCAGTGGGATTTAAAACAATTAAAACACATCTTTGAATTGTATCATAAAAATAGAATTCACTTTAATTTAAATGAAACATTAGTTTAATAAACTCAACAACTCGCTGAATAAAATAAGCAAATGATCCAAACTCAAGTGTTACACTATCAAAGCGGCATAAGGTAACTAAATGATACGGGAAACAATAAATGAAGAAGGTCATTATCCATCTCCCACACAAGAAGCATCTAAGGCCCCCGGCCTTTATTTGAGTATCTGCACCATAGACGTAAAGTCAACATAAGAAATAAACAAGGAGCGAGAATACATTAATAAATGTTAGCAGTGCATAAAACAATAAAGGATGGATCAAATTACATATATATTCGATTTCTCAAGTCATTCACACCAATCATCAATCATAAATGAAATGCTTATGCAATGTATTTATACCCTATACTCTATATGCATGTGATACAGAGATTCTTAGATGTCAGAGGTATGTTATTGATTAATCCAGTCGTCACTGATTTCATCTCTAAACTTGAGACACATCATTTGATTCCATCTCTAAACCTGACAACTCGTTATTGGACTAAAGTCCTACCTATTTCTGATATACATGATTCATTAATGTTATACAAAATCACACAAGGTTCATCTCGACCTCCACCTGCATTACTCATCACCGGTTCCTCTCTGAATCGAAAACTCAAAATAATTATTGCTAATACAAGGCAACAACAATGCACCCTCTTTGAACCAAATATCTCCGCATAACTCAACAATCATCCTCTTCATGAGACATTAATCATAAACCTAGAATAATAGTTAAAAATATATAATTAATCATCAATACTAATTTCATCATCAACATCAATATCCCTCCTCACGAGATATTCATCAATTAAATTAATCACAATAATTAAAAGTTATTTCATCATTATTAACCATCACATAACATTATATAATAAAGTAAAATATTTAATTCACATTCTCACGTTCACATTTATCTTCTTAGGACATTATCATGAGGTAGTCCTACGCGTCTGCTTTCTAACGCTTCAAACCACGTCTCAATCGGAGTCATGAAACTCAAGTTATGGAAAAAATAGGGTAGCTAATCAATTATTTTGAATATTCTGTCCAATATTTTTCGTTCAAAGCAAGGAACCAATCGATTGCTATAGGGGACCAATCGATTGTCACCTGAAATTTTTTCAAAAATCTCACTTCAAAATTCATCTTCTTCAACTTTTAACCATTTCAAATATTCAATCATATTCTAACATGCTCAAACATTTTTCACCATGAATTCAACATCATACATCGATTACATAACATTTAACACATCATACTATTCAGATTAATCATTTATTTCATTAAATAAACCATAAATTCATCATCATATTCATCAAAAATCTCAAACACATATTCATCAACATTAAACTCAGATTTAGACATGTTAATTCACACTAATTTCAACTATCTATCACAATATAATAATAATTTCATAACACAACCATCTTGAGAGGTTTGTTCAACGATCTCATGATCCAACTTCATCAATGGAGAAACAAGAATAGGGAAAAAAGAAGAGGATAAAGACACATCTCTACCCTTTATGCAATACACATGAGTCTGTTTTGAAATACTAAACTAACTTTGAAAAGTTGAGCAATAAAGTATTAGAGTTACCACCATATGCAAATGAGATTGCCATTCAACGCCTATCTCACAAATTGTGAATTGAAGCCAAGTTGAAGGATTCAAAACCTAAAATTACTATTGTTATGGATTTAAAGTGAAGTTTTTCAAAAAATTAATCCTATAATAAATGAATTCATGATAGTGAAGTTATTATAGTTTATAGACAATTTATAATACAAATCGATTATACTTATCTCTTTTAAAGAACTACTTGAATTCAACCTTACCACTTGCAAATCCAAAATAATCATCCATGTGAAAATATATCAATGATTTAAGTTCAGAATTCATATAAGAGTATGAAAATATACCAAACCAAGAAATAAATATTACATTAGTGCTGAAATTAAAAGTTCTCTCGTTTATTCTTCATGGAACATGCTTAATGTAATGATGATATCTATCTGAGTCTTAATGTATTTAGCCTCTTTTTTAAAACCCTTTTGGTACAAGTTGCCTAAGCTTTGGCTAGTTCCCATTTCACCCTCCACCAACACATAAATTTGTTACAGCTGGAACCATAAGAACAACTTAACAGTATTAGGTTTATGGGATTGATTTTCCTTACAGACTTGGAATCATAACCAATAAGCAACCGTAGGCAAAACTTTGAACAACATTTTTTACAAATATATTGTAAAACAAAGCACAAGAGTCTAACACTCCACTCCGATAATAAAACACATCAATATGACAATAAATAACTCATCCAAATACATTCAAGTACGGTAAAACAAAATGGTAGAAAATTTCCTGCTAAACGCTTTTGCGACAGTAAGAACTACTCCTACCTACACTCCATCTCTCCCATTTTTCTCATTTCATAAAAGCAAATAGTCAACAGGAATTGCGAAAACTTGGAACCGTCTGCCTGAGAAGAAAATTATGTAAGTAGAATTTCTACTATATCCTCGGCTACTAAAATAGAGAAATAACTTTAGCAAATTATGTAAGTAGAATTTCTACTATATCCTCGGCACCACTCAAAAGGGGCCACGACTGGGCCTGTTGTCCTCAGCAACACTCACTTTTAATGTCCTCCCTTCCAAACTCTGCAGAAAAAAAAACACAAAAAAAAAATCATCCAAAAACATACTCTGCACGAAGTCCTTAACACAGTTTTAGTTATTTGTTTCACCAGTTTAACACCAACCCGCAATAATCATATTCCCTTCGATTTGCATCTAAGCATTGATCATTTAACAAAGTAGTTAAGTAATACCTGACCATTAAGGGCAGCGATAGCATCATTCATTTCTTTCTCATCAGACATCGTGACAAAGCCAAAGCCACGTGACTGACCCGTCTCTCTATCATAGATTACTCGAGCATTCACAACCTTACCATATTCACTGAAAACTTGCTCAAGTCTACTACCATCAACTTGCCACGATAAGTTACCAACATAAACTCTTATGACAGGAACATAGGGACGAGGTGGGCGCTCTTCCCGCTCTGGCCTTGAACCTCTTGGAGCAGCCTTATTCACAGTCAAGGATCTTCCATTATAATCCTGTCACAGAAAAATGGATAAGAACCAAAAGAACAAAAAAATAACTCAAGATAGGATTATGAGAAGCACCAATACTTAAAAATGGTTGTCACACGCACACACACATACTAGTGCTCAAACGTGTTTTCTTGTTGAATACATCTCAAACCTCTCTTATTCATTGAATAATCAATGTATCTGGTCTATATTATATAATTGACACTTCTAGTTTAGACTATGTTACAACGTTAACATTTATGAATTGGTTCTTAACTTACATAGCGGTTGAATTTCTCCGCGCCAGCTTCAGCTTCTTCAACCGTACTCATGGTTACAAATCCAAAGCCACGACTCTGGTCAGTTTCCCTGTTATAAACAACCTAAAACAACAACAACCATAACTCAACTCATTGAGAATTGAAAGTAAATGAAATTGAAAACAGTATTAAAATAAAAATTTATATGACCTCTGCAATCTCTACAGTTCCAGCTTGTTCAAAGAGCATGGCGAGTTTCTCACCATCAACATCATAAGGCAAATTACCAACGAACAATTTGGCATCTTCGGATGGTTCAGCAAAATCTCCCTCCGCAGAGTTTTCTTCAACAGCCTCGTTTTCAGCAGCGTCGGTTTCCTCCCAATCGAGAAGTCCTTCGGTTTCATCGACACCTTGTTCGTCTGTGGTTAGTGTGCCACCTTCTTGCGCGGCGAAGAGAGGTGAAGCGCGATTGGTTTTTAGTGAGAGAGTGAGAGAGGGTGAAGAATTGAGGGAGAGATGGAGTTTGAAGGGTTGGGAGGGGAGTGATAAGGAGGTGGTTTTGGTTTTGGTGAGGAAGAGTGAGGCTATGGTTAGGGTTTTGAAGAGAGGAGTGGTGGAAGTCACAGACATGGTGATATAGAACGAAGAAGGTACTGAAGTGGAGGAATGAGCAAGTTTGGGGGAAATGTGATGTGAGGATAAGGGGTTAAATACTTGAACTGAAAATGAACTGCAATCAAGGGTTTTGTTCTGCCTAAAATATTGCAAGAGAAAAACAAAAAATAAAATCTATACACTCTTGAGTAGATATTTATTGAGTTTAAATTAATTTATATTTACTGTCAAATATATTAAAAAAAAAATCAAATTTACTTATAATTCGTTTTGGATAAAGGATAAGAAAAGAAGACCAATTAAGAAGAGGCAGAGGTCAGATGAAAGACAAGGTTGGTAACTAAATGGAGACAAAAAGGGTAAGTACGTGGAGGAAAAAAAAGAAACCTTCAAATTAAATTTTCCAACCAATGGGATGCACTATAACGTTATAGAAACATAGAGTAATGTTGCCAACTACACTAGACCACCAGATAAGTTGTCAATACAACTATCTGATATTGATGAGGATCCCAAGGAAATGGAGAAGAACTCAACGCAGAATGTAGAGGTAAAAGTGGTTCATGAAACGTCAGAAGTAAATGATCTAAGTTGCTGAGCGAAGACAGTTTTACCTTTCTTTGCATCGTTTTTATGATGAATAGAAAAAATAATAAAATTTAGGTGTAGAACTGTCGAGGAGATGCTGGTAAAGATTTCTACAGATGCATTAAGCATTATATTTACATTTACAAGCTTGCTATATTTATAGTGGCTGAAACGAGACGTGGTCCGTAGAAACTCAATACGACATTCAAATTGTCGGGCTTTGATGACACTATCTTTATAGAGAATCAAGGTTATGCTAGAGGAATAATAGCAGCATAGAACAAGAAAGACGTAACAGTCTAATTATGTAGAAAAGAAACTCAATTCGTCCATCTTCAGGTTAATAATCTGAATGGTGGGAGTTGGATGTTTACAACGGTGTATGTTATCCAACACAAATTGTGGGAAGACATTATTATAAAACGCGCAAACAACAACGCCAAAGTCACCACAGTTCGCCCCAAAACCGTAGTGATACTGTTAAACTAATGCGCTAACATTTTATTTTCATTTTTTTAATTGAAAATTTAAGTTTATAATTACGGTCAATTATCTAATTGTGGTGATACAGTCCAATTTTTATGGGTTCGATTCTCAGCTCCCTCAAATAGTTTATCCATTTTACTTTAATGCACGCCTTTTCAATTACATTTATATAATAAAAAATAATAGGTATATCACTACGGCTCTTTTGAACAATTGTTGTTACACACCGATGATTCTTTGTATATATTAAACACTAAGTACCCATTCTTCCACTGATAAAAAGAATAAACCCTAACACCAACACCGTCGGGAAGAAGAAAACAACCTTAACACTCACTGTTGTTGTCCATAATCGTCTCAATGTCTCATTCCAGGAGTATAAAATCTCGATCTGGAAATTTATGTGCTTGCGACTGTCGTGTGGTTTCGTTCCTATGCAAGAGGGGTCAAAATAAAGGAAGGCTTTTTTGGAGATGTATAAATTGGCGGACTGGTGAAACATGTAATTTATTCATATGGGATGATGAACAAAAATTGGAAGATGAGAGTATTATGATGCCAAAGTTGGATTCTGTTGGATATTTGAAGGTTATGTATACAGATTCAAAAAAGAAGAACAAGAATTTGAAGAACAAACTGAAGTCAAAGAGGTTTTCTGAAAATTTGAAGATGTTATGTTTTCTTATCTCCTTTTGTTTAATATTTACTTTGTTATAAAATATAATAGTTGAATTAGGGTTTGAAATTTGAAAATGTTATGCCATCTTATATCCTTTATGTTTAATATTTTTTGTACTTTATTATGAAATGTAAGAGTCTAAGATGCAGTGGACTTGACAGGAATATGCAACTAACAGACCATTTCTTACGAGTAAGTTCGTCGCAATAATTTTCAGTTACAATAATGTGTTTTATATATTTTGAAGTTTAAGCTGATAGATTAAGTTGATAGTTTAAGTGGAATGTTTAAGTTGATAACCTTAAGAGATTTAAGAAGAAAGATTAAAATTTCATTACATAAACTTTCATTACATAATCAAAAACCATAATCAAATCTAAATCCTCTCGCTGAAATAAAGTTAGATCAATCATAGTCAGCCTCATCATCATCAGAATTGAAAAAATCATCATTTGTCTTCTCAACCTTCTTCTTCTTCTTCTTCTCCTCACCCTAAGAGCTTTCATTAGTCTAAACACAACACCCTCTACAGTAACATCTTGAATCTGAGGATGGTTTTGCACCACAACACCAGCCTCTACAACAACATCTTGATTCTGAGGCTGGTTTGGCACCACAACACCCTCTACAACAACATTTGGAATCTCAACATTGTTGGTGACTTGAGCAGGATAACACATGTTGATTCCTTTGGATGAAGTTGTTTTTGTGTCTTGGTCCTTCTGATTCTTCATCTTCTTATCTTGGAAGTTTAAAAATCAAAGATGCTCATCACTGTTTCTTTAATTATATACACTTTCTTTTCTCTTGGAAGTTGGAAAGATTGCATTTCTCGAGCTATTCAAATTTTATTATACTTAATGGAATTGTATACTTGTAATTAATATAAATGTTGATATCAATTAAAAATTGGTTTAGTGTTGATTATGGTATGAAAACTTGATATTTATTCAAATACTATATCACAACGGTTATTATTAATAATCGTTGTTATAAGGCGCACACTTTCTAGATTACTACGACGGTCATTGGACCGTGATTGTAAGTATAGCATATACAACCATACACTACATAATAACGACTGATCCCACGTGGTTATATATATTTTCCAACCGTTGTTAAATTCCTTTTACGTAGTAGTGAGAGTTACAGAATATAACGAATGACCTTCATGAGCCATGGATGATTGGAGGTGACATTGATGAAATAGCTAGCATGGGAGAAAAAAAAAGTAGTGCAAGCTTCTATGAGAAATATGCCTCTTTTAGGAACATAATCAATATGTGTAAGTTAATTGAGCTTGTGTAAAGTGGTCATAAGTTTACGTGGAGAGGGCTTATCTATCATGGGGGGAAAAGTTCTATGAGATTTATAGAGCCATGTGTAATGATGCTTGGAGATTGAAATATTCAGATGCCTTTGCAAAAGTCTTTATAAGGGTAGAGTTTTATGACCACCATCCCATTATGATCTTTATGGAGTCGGGAATAGTAGAATGATAGAGAGAAAGTTTAGATTCAAAAGTGCATGGATGTTAGAAGCAACCTATCAAGACATGCTCAACAAAGTGTGGCGAAAGGAGGTGAGTTTGAACACAAATCTACAACATGTGAAGAATGACCACATATCCCTAGGGGAGACTGTTGCATGTCTCTAACACATTCAGAGGGAGCACCTCCAATATGGTTATTTAGTTCCTTATATTTTTGCTTTTATTTATTATCGTTTATTGAGTGTCCTTCATGAATGCGCATCTCTAAATCAAGTTCAAATCGATTCATTTATTTGTTTTAGCATGCATAAATCAATAGTTATATTTGAGCTTGATCATGATGCTTTTAGTCAATTGCATGAGTCAGTGGAATAAAAACATGTGTTATTGATTCAAGTTAGGTGGAAAGAAAAATCTCAAAGTATTTTGAAAACTATGAAAATTTGAGATTTTATGTGTTTGATTTGAATCAAGCACATATCCTGACTGGAATCAAATTTAACAGAGGCAAACCAAATTTTTTTCAAACACTTTGATTTAAAACAGAATTTACATTTGTAAAATCTGTATATTTTGGCTATAAAATGTTGTATGTAAAATAGATGGTGGAGGTGAGAAAAAGAAATATATTTTTTATGATTTTTGCACCCACCGCGGTTGCGAACCTTTAGTTCCTACGTACCATCTTTCATGCAATAGGGGGTCAAGGTACACGTAGTTCCTCTTTTAAAAAAAAATTTAAAACACAAATGTGTTGGTTAATTTTATGAGATAAAACATCATCGTCATTGTCCGTGTGAAAAACATACCTACTACCCACAGTTATGGGAAAGGAGAATTTGTATCATCTCAAAGTGGAGGATATGGCTTGGATTTTAAAATCAACAATGCCTCACTCAACACCCAAGTGGAAAATATCCCTCTTCACTACATATTGTAGAAGTATAGTTGTTTGCATCACTACAAGGATTGACAAGAGTTCAATCTTTTGAGAAAAGTTTAAAGATAAAAGCCAAAATGGCAAGATGGTTTGAAATTAGATTGATTGACTTTTAGTCTTCTCACAAAAAAATGTTAAGGTATTATTAAGTTGATTGGGGTTTATTTATGAAAATGTTTTGAAAATGCATGGACATAAGTCCAAGTTTATTATGAAAATGGTTCAAGTTTAAAAAACAAGAAGAGTTCTCAAAAGGAGGAAGAAGATTTTTGAAGTTAAAGAAGATGGGAGGAGAAGAAGGGACTATCCTAAAGCATAAGATAAAAGTTAAGGATAAGAACCATCTAACCAACAATAAGCCAATACTTGACATTATGAGCCAAGATAGAATTCTCATTCCTTAGATTGAAACTAATCAAGCAAAAAACACTAGACCTCTTAAGAGAACCAAAACTTCAAGTGTATTAAGTCTTCATAAAAATTGGACAGGGTAGCGGCTGTATACGGGTGAATTTCAGATTACAAACAAAGAGTGTAATCACAAAAAAAAACTGCACACAAAAACAAACAAGCAACCCAATGTCTTGAGGTAAACCTCAAGAACTCCAGACAGAATAATCAGATAAGATCACCAAGTCTCCAAGATAGGCCAAGGTTTCTAATCCTAAGTCCAAGAAAAGTCCCATGCTCCATAATGCCAAGGATAGTAACCAAATAGTCCAAGTACCATTAAAGATTTTTCAGAGTTTATGTTGATTATTAAGTATCTTAAGAAAGGAAAAGAAAAAGCTCAAGTGAGCAAAGTAAAAATGACAAGAAAGTAAATGCTC